AACACCGGGGACACATATTCATGTATAAAAGACGTACAAAAGTGCATTTTGCATGATAGGTCACCTTTAATGAAAGCACACGTGTCAAAAAGATTCACCTAGAACAATTGATTTGTAAACTATTTAATTTATTTTTATTTGAGCATTAGGTCGATAAAACCATAAGAGATTATCTGCAATTTAGAGTTGGTTAAACTCTTGACATTGAAAGTAAAGAGTTCTGTAGCTATTTGGGGAACATTTGCGATTAGTAAAAATGAATCTTTCTGGATTTCGAAACACCAATCACATTATGGAAACAAAACTATGTTATTCAAAATATTTACCAGAAACCTGATGTTAAATTAAAGGTGGGGTAGGTAAGTTTGAGAAACCGGCTCGAGATACACTTTTTGTTATATTCCATGGAATGCTCTTAACATCCCAATAGCAATGAATATCTTAAGTGCTTTGACAAAAAATCCATAAAAAAATGTCATCAGTGGAAGCCGTAGTACTGTGAAAAGCACGACCAATCATCTGAGCAGGCCCGGCGAAAATAACTGGATGGCCTACCTGCCTGTCAGCCTTCCATCTGTGCACAAACTTATCTCGTGCCCTCATTGGTCAAGTGCGCGTTCGTGTGTGTTGGGGGAGGGGCTCTCTAAGGAAGAGGCAGATTTTTTCCGGATGTGTATTTTCAAATTCTAGCGATCTCGAGCTGGTTTCTCCAAAATGACCTACCCCACCTTTAAGTTGACATCATGTTCCATGTGCTCACATCATGATGATCATGAATCAGTGGAAAGATTAGGCGATAATGCAATTTTCTTTGAATTTCACTTCTAGTTTTCTTTTCTGTTCAAGGTTTTCTCTTTCCTGATTGTATTCTTCTTGCAGCTCCTGAAGTCTTGTTTGCTCCTCTCGTCGTCTCTTTTAATTTTTTCTCTCTCCTTCTCCCATTCTTCTTTTTGCGTTCTCATCTCTTCTTTAATGTCCTCCAACTCTCCTTCTAATTTTTCCTCCCATTCCTTTTTTCTATTTTCATCCTGCCTTTTATTCTTGATATTATCTTTTTTTCTCAGTTTCTTTACTCTCTTTCTCTCCTCTCGATCCTTGTTGATTATTTCCTCCATCTCTTGAAGCTGTTTGGATCTCTTTTGCTACATTTCTGCTCTCTCCTGTTCCATTATTCTCTTCACTTCTTTCATTCCCTCCTCATGTTTTCTTTGGAGCCCCTCCCTCTCTCCCTGCATTTCTTCTTCCTTCTCCTTCAGGATCTTCTCCACTTCCTTCTGTATGGCGGCCTCGGCCTCTTGGAACATCTCCAAGGTGAAGCAGCTGCCGCCATTTTCCTTCAGCATTTTGTTGGACTTCTTCATCAGCTCTCTGACTTGCATGCGGTTTGTCTGACCTTTGTTATTGAAGACCTGGTATCTCCCTCCACAGTCATATATCAGTTTTTTCAAAAAATCATCACAGTTTTCTACGTAACTCTCTATTGTTTCATCATTCAGATCATCTCCTCTGGTGAAAATAATGATGATGAAATCTCCAGATTTCTTGCCAAAACATTTCTTGATCAGTTCCACTGAGTCTTTTTCCTCATGTAATTCGGCCGATCTGCAGCACATGTGTATGTAAGAACACATGAGGTCCAGGAGACAACATGCTGATGCATTTCACAAGCTCGTCTTGAACATCATCATTGGATAGTGTTGTGTCGAACCAACCGGGGGTGTCTACCACAGTGACAGGTCGTCCATCAATCTCTCCTGTTGCTTTTTTGCATAACTTTTGTCACTGAATTTGTGCTGGCAGATGTAAAATGTTTTTCGCACAAAATGGTGTTTCCAGTTGCACTCTTCCCACTGCCTGTCTTCCCAATCAGCACCATCCTGACACACTCTTTCATCAACACCGCCCATCTCACTTTTCTTTTTAACATCCTGCAGTTCAGCTTTAAGTCTTTTGTTAGTGTTATCTAACTCTACAACCTTCGTTATCTGAGCCTTGGTGAACATCTTCATTGTGAAGCACATGGATCCTCCGACTCTGGTGTCTCCCACAGTATTCAACAGCTCTGGGATCTGCTGCTGGTGATGTTGAGAACAACCAACCCAGTCTCACAAAAAAAACGTGTAATAACTACGTTGGTCCACAACTTGGGACGTAGTATTTCTACAAAAACGCCTCTGAAATTGTAGGATCCCTACGTTTTTTTCCACCATTCATTCCAATGGCTGGCGTCTATGTCACGTGATCTTCAAATTTCTCCCTGCAGAAAAAAAAACATGGCCGAACTTCGTTTTATTCTCGGTGGAAAATGCCTATTTTAAGGTTAGTTTGGCCATTAAATTGCGTTTTGATGTCATTTGATGCGAGAACTATGAGTTGTTATTTCAGATTATGTGTGCAGTGGATGTACATGATATTTAGTTTGCTAGTTATTATGAAGATTACTTCAGGAAATTGTGTCCATTCAACGTTTTCATTGTTACCAAGGTGGTTGCTAGGGACGCTGGTATCGATATTATTTCTGTTATGTAACTGTTTAATGGTGTTATCTTTATTGCTACCCCCTTCCCCGTCAATGTATAGTGTTGGTCCACAGCGCAAACGTATTAGTTTAACAAAATCCGCATCTAAAATTGTGGCATAGATACGTTATTTTCCCCTGTGCAATTCCAGTCTCACACCTCTCACATCACATCGTCATAAACAAATACCGGAAACAGACCGAAAACATTTTTTAAAAATAAAATAATACTTTATTCCAAGTGTGCTTGCTTTTCTCTTTGAAAGTCATCACATAACGGGATTGTAATACACGGTTCGGCTGCATTAAAATATTACATATCTGCCGTAGTTCTCTATTTATAGAGCCCTGATGAGAAGACTTCTAGA